ATTCATAGCATGAAAATATCTTCTCCCACTCTGAAGGTTGTCTTTTTGCTTTGTTGATCATTTCCTTAGCTGTGCAGAAACTTTTAGATTTGATCAGATCCCATTTATTTAGTTTTGCTGTTGTTGCATTTGCCTTTGGGGTTTTTATAAATTCTTTCCTAAGACTGATACCAAGAGTTTTTCTCACACTTCTAGAGTTTTTATAGTTTTGTGTCTTAGATTTAAATATTTTATTCATCATGACTTAATTTTTATAAGTGTTGAGATGTGGGTCTAAATTCGGTTTTTTATATGTGGGTAACAAGTTCTCCCAGCACCATTTATTAAATAAAGATTCTTTTCCCCAATTTATGCTTATGTTTGCCTTACCAAAGATCAGATGGCAATACAAGGCTGGTTTCATCTCTAGGTCCTCTATTCTATTCCATAGATCTGTGTCTCTGTTTTCATGCCAGTACCATGCTATTTTGATGACTATGGACAAAGTCTCTTTCTTATCTTTAATATGTGCTGACGGTCTTAGCTACTGTAATAATACACAAAAAAAGAAATAAAAGGTAGAAAAATGGAAAAGCAGAAGTTAGAGTCTTTATTCACTGAGGACATGATTGTTTATAAAATCCTCAGAAATATATAAAACAACTGGTAGAACTCACACATAAATTAAGCAAGGTCATAGGAGACAAGTTCTATATACAAAAATGAATTGTATTTATACTTACTAGTGGCAAATTACTTGGAAATGAAGTTTTAAAATTCCATTTCAATTATATCAGTAAACAAAATATATAGGAAAAAATTTTTTAAAAGATGTGTAAGACTTCTTAGATTAAACAATAAAACATGAAAGAAATCAAACAAGGCCTAAATAAATGGAGGTATATATCATGTCAATAGATTGGAAGAGTCAATATTGTCCTGCTGAAATTAATCTATATCTTCAACACAATCCAAGTTAAATTCTCAGCAACTTTTTTTTTAATAGAAAATGATAAATGGATCCTAACATCTATATATAAAAGCAAAGGCCAAACAAACTTTGAACAAAACTAAAGGTGAAGAGTTTCTTTACCTAGTGCCAAGACTTATCATGAATCTATAATAATCAAGAATCTGTTATTGGTATGTGGATAAATGGATCAATGAAAAAAAATGAATCAGTAGAGTCCAGTAATAGATCCTGATGTACATATATATGATCAATTGACTTTCAACAAAGTACCAAGGAACTTCAGTGAGGAAAGGAAAGTCTTTAATAAATGGTGCTAGGACAACTATATAAACATAGAAAGGAAAGAACTTCACTTCCTACCTCATACAACACACAGAAATTAATTTGGTGTGGATCATAGACTAAATGTAAAACTGAAACTATAAAGATTCAAAAGGATATATAAAAAAATGTATTTGTGCAACTTTGAGCTAGGCATGGAGTTTTAAGGTACAGTAAGCACCAGTATAAATAATGATAAATAATGAATAATTTAATTCATGAAAATTAAACTAATAATCAAAGAATTTGCATTAGCTAATCTGTATAAAGGATATATGAGTCTTTTATGTACTATTCTTGATATTTTCTATGAATTATTAGAAATTATTTACAAATAAAAAGCTTAAAAAGATGACATTAAGAAAATATGGAAGAAAATATTCACAATACATGTATCTGAAATAGAATGTTTCCAAAATATATGAAGACCTATTATATTTATAAGAAAGCAACCTTATAAAAATTGAGCAAAAGACTTATTAACACATATTTTATAAAGGTGATACACTAATGGATAAATGTAAAAGTGCTCGGTGTCATTAGTTGTAAGGAACAATGCAAATAAAATCCATCTTATGACTACTTAAAGTGGCTAAGATTTAAAAGTCCAGTAATACAAAAAGTAGGTGAGGATGTGGAACCACTACAACCATTTTGAAGAGCTATTTTTATGAGGTTGTACAAACATTTGCCACCAATGACTCAGCAATCCCATTCTCAGTTGTTTTTTAAGAGAATAAAAATAGGCTCAGTGCCTGTAGCTCAGCGGCTAGGGCAGCAGCCACATACATCGGAGCTGGCGGATTCAAGCCCCGCCCAGGCCTGCAGCAATGACACCTGCAACTAAAAAATAGCCAGGCATTATGGCGAGTGCTTGTAGACCTAGCTACTTGGGAGGCCAAGGCAAGACAATTGCTTAAGTCTAAGAGTTTAAGATTGCTATCAGCCAAGATGCCATGGCCCTCTACCAAAGGCAACATAGTGAGACTCTGTCTCAAAAAAAAAAAAAGAGAATGAAAATACATGTCCATAAAAAGACACTAAAAGCATATATATTCATACAGGTTTTATTCATGAGAAACCAAAACGGGAAGGAACTCAAAATTTTCATCAACAGGAAGATAAAGTGTCTATCCATAACAAGACATAACAGCGAAAAAATAAAATAAAGAACCCAGCCCCAGCCAAAAACTGCAAAAAAATAATTAATTAATTAATTAATTGAATAAAGAACTATCGATGCATGCCATATCATGAATCTCAAAAATGTCATATTAGGTAGAAAAAGACAATCACAAAAGAATATATTCCATATCATTCCATTTGTAAGAATTCAAGAACAGACAAAACTTATCTCTGGTGATAGACACCGGAAGAGTGATAACCCATGGAGTTAGGATTGACCAGAGGGTTCCAGGAACAAATTGTCTAGAGTCATAGACATGTGCTATGTTTTGATTAGAGTGGAAATTACATAGATGTATGTATTTATCAAAACACATGACAATCTGTGCATTTAGCTTTCACAAATTTTTACCTCAAAGAAGAAATGAAAGATACCATAACTATTTTTATAGTATTCATTCTGCACAGAGGGTAGAATCTGAACCCTGTAATAGCTTCCTATTGTGAATAATAAACTTATGAACTCCTTACCTTGGCATAAAGACCCTACATGATTTGGCGCTTGCCTGCTCTTTCTATCTCAGATCTCTCCCTTAGCTACTAGGTCCTAGTCTTGCTGGCTCTACTGTCCAAAGTAGGTCATTTCTTGATATATTTTTTTTTTTAGTTTAGTCTCTTATTTGTTTCCTTCATTAAATTAGGATACCTTGTACTTAATTTGTCACTTTTTGTTTTTTGCCTGCGTTTCTCTCTCAAATAGAATCTCCCTGAGGGTAGAGACTTTGTCCTTTCCATTATTGTATCCCTGATACAATTCCAGCATATTGCCTAGATCAATATGTGTTGAATATATTAATGAATATTTCTGTAGTTCCCTGTGCTGATAAAGTGATAGTATATACTCAGTCATTCCTCTTTTTGGAGTTTGGTGCTTAACAATTTAGATAAATGTTATATAGTCTAATCCTTTAATAAAACTATATCACAGATGAGTTTTTGGGTTAATGCAGCACTTCTTTTTGTTCCCTTTTTTTTTTCCAGATTCCCTGTAGTCTTTCCTTCTATTTCCTAATCAGAACTTTTTGCACAAGAGACCTAATAGCATCCCTAAAGACAATGCTTTCCAACCATATTTGATCCTGTACTCCATTGGTAATATATTTGTGCACACCCACTGCATTAGGTGCATTTATTTGAAAATATATAAGCAATACTTCCTATTTAATATTTAGTAAAACATGCACAAAAATAAGATTTTTAAAAGGATGAGATGAAAGTTCTAATGTTTTCTTCCCGCATTTCAGTACTCCCTCTTTTCCCTGTGTGCTAACCCCACAGTGAAGACACTGCCTTGGGGTAAATGTGGCACCATGCCTACTAACACTGCAAAGTATAATATACCAATAGTGGTAATACTTTTGCATTTTAAACCTTAGCACTGACTTATGGATTAAAAGGTTTATTGCTTTTATAAATGAAATATGGTATCATTTAGTGCAGCTAGGGTAGAACTTTTAGGTCTGGGAAATACTCTGAAATCATCTCACCTAAGTTTTATTGTATTTATTCATAACATTGCTTAATGGTGGTTTTTCTGTAGCAAGATATATAGAGTGTTTTAGAGGGAGATAATGTGATTAGAAAAGTGGGGAAGAAAAGCTATAGAAAAGACTATTTGATTTTAAAAAGTAGTTAATTACACTGTAAATATTGACAATACTGTATTTGAATGAAATGTCTCCATTGGGGATTGCTAAAAGATAGAAAATTAGTGATGTAGTACATCTAAAATGGGGAAAAATTGCTAAAAGTTGCTAAAAATGGGTAAAAACCATTTATTCTCAGATAAAAAGACAGTTTTTAAGGAAGCATCAATTCTACACTATAGTAGCCTGAGACAGCTTTGGAGATTTTAAGCCTGCTGTGTTACCTCTGAGACCTAAAGGAAGCAGAACATAAAAATGAGCCTCTATCAATTTGAAGCAAACCTAATCTTTGTGATCATGGCTGTGGTCTAAATCTATTAAAGATGTTCAAATTCAGTGTCCTTGGTATCACTGTGGGTTGACCTGAATAGTTAGCAATAAAGTTGTGTATTATAATTCTGGATGGAAGATATGTGCTTAGGCAGTGAAACCGACAGTCGGTGTTTTGTATCTGTCTCTAAGCAGACTAAGAGCCTATATAAAATGACAGGTGCATTTTTAGGGAAAGGAACCCATAATGTTTTCCTATTTAGTAGGTGACAGTATGTCCCAAGATAACACAAGCTTAAGGGGCTGGAACAAGCATGGTTATTAAAGGCTAGCAGTTTTTCAGTTTATACAAATGAATTCTTTCATAGGCTATAGGACTGTGGAAATCTAGTGTAGAGTACTGAAATAAATTAGCATATTAAGTGAATTTATACATTTAGGCTTATGAGCACTTTGAATTTAAGGAGGAAATTTTATTATTTCTTGAAAGAAAAAGGCAGTTCTTAAATTCTGTGTTTGATCTCCCTATTGCAAAGGGTCTGTGTGATAAATTATCATTTTGATGATTATCCAAAGAAGTGGTTATTAAATTGATGGGAATATTTCTCTCCTGTCTCTTTTTTCAGAATTACTGATCTAGGGAACATCAAAAGAAGATTGTATTTATCAACGGTTCATAAGGAACTATCCTCAACCCCTCTTCATGCAAAAATCCCACTCTTCATGATCAAACGCAAAATTGTAAGTATCACGTGAATGTTGCCTAAAATATTAAATTTAATTTAGCAAATATTAATTGTGGGCCTGCTCCATGTTTGAGACACTTGTTAAGAACCATGTGATATAAAAAATGAATAAAATTCATGGTCTTCCTTCCCCTTTCTTGAAAGAGCTTAAAATCTAAGAAAAAGAACATAATTATTTGAACTGATAATATCACCAAAACTGTGTTAAGAAGCATAGTGGAGAGAGAAAGTACTGTTGGTACTATGAAAGGGAAAGGAATCCATCTGACTACCGGGTGAGGAAAGGCTTCATGAGGGAAATAGGGCATGGTGTGGACTTTAAAGGACTGGAGGGTATTTTTTTTCTTTAGACAGGATCTCACTCTGTCACCCACACTGGAGCGCAGTGGTGTAATTATAGCTTACTGTTGGTACTATCAAAGGGAAAGGAATCCATCTGACTACAGAGTGGGCATGTAGGATTGCTTGAGGGCCAAGAGGATTGCTTGAGCCCTGAATGCCTGGGCTCAAGCAGTCCTCTTGCCTTACCTCCTGAGTAGCTGGGACTATAAGCATATGACACTATGCCTGGCTAATATCTATAATATATATAGATATATATTTGGGGGGGTTCAGGTTTTATGCTTGTTTTTGTGACCTCTGAAGGATTTAATTTAACTGACCAGTCTTTCTCTAACTAGGCATTTCAATACTTCTCTTAATATTATTTTGTATATTTCCTGTTCTAGTATTTAATTAACACTTTCCTTTAAATTAATTCTCTTTCACTTAAATTAACTTTAAGAGGAAACTTTATACCACTCTTACAAATAGAAAACCAGTGTAATTTTCCAAAAATAAAATTTAAAAAATAAACATACTGAAAACAAAACAATATTTTATAGTTTAGCTAGGTATTGTTTTTTGCTTAAGGCTCTGTGCTAAAAAGAGTTTATTAAAGATTTGATATATATTCAAGCTTTCTCTTTGGTGTAGTTAGATCCGAAAGAAAACTGATAAAGAGAAATGTTTATTCTGTGATCCAGCTTCATTTAATGCTACTCACATAAGCCATCTAAAATCATTTCCTGAATGGTGTGTGTTCCACTCTGTAGGAACTGCTATGGTAGAGAAAAGGAAGCCATTAAAGCTTTTGACTGAGGGAGGAACACACAGTGAATTCTGTACTTTGAGAAGATTAATCTGGTAGTGATATTTTCAATGACTTGGAGCATGTAGAAAGTGGAGGTGAGGAGATTAGGGTAAATGAGGACTGGGGTGGGGACAGTAGAGGAATAGATATGAAGCAACATTAGAAACTTGTAGTGAGATGAGCTAAGAGATATGTAAACAAGGTGTGAGAGCAAAAACAGAACCATGGGCTACAAGAGGAGGACTTAGAGAAGACCCTTTGGAACACAAGAGGTTTCTGAGTTGGGCCTTGAAGGATGGGAAGGAGTTAACCAGTTTAAGCATGAGATATGCAGGCAAGTCCAGGAATCTAGTGTTGCTGAAAGAGAGACCAGAATAGGGGGAGGTGGATAAGGCTGCAGAGAGAAAAGAGGCAACCTCTTGACAGGCCTTGTCTTTCTAACCAGGTAGAAAGACATTTGCATTTTAGGTAGAACATTACTTGTAGAGGATGAGTGAGAAAGATAAAACATTCAGGTTGAAATTTTTGGAGGTACACATACATTGGAGTCCCAGACAGAGGTGTGACCTGGCTGTTTGGGCTTTTTTTTTTTTTTAACCAAGGAACTAGCATTTAAAGTCATGAGAATGGATGAAATTGCCCACAGAAAGAGGACAGATTAGCAAAAGCAACAACCAAAAAGGAAAGAGGAGGAAATGCATAGGCCTACCAACATAAAGGATGGGCAGCGTGAAAAGAATCCAGGAAGCAGTAGACCAACAGTGAGAAAACTGTAAGAGGGGAGAGTATAGGAGTGGCACCTGTGGCTCAAAAGGGTAGGGCATCAGCCCCATATGCCGGAGGTGGGGGGTTCAAACCAAGCCCCCGCAAAAAAAAAAAAAAAAAAGAAGAAGAAGGGAGAGTGTAGTATTGTGGAAACCAAGGAAGTTTTAGCAAAAGAGGATAGACAAGATTGGAAAGTATCTTGGGAGCACAGCAACCATGAGTAACTTCCATAAGAAGTTTTGATGTGTTAAGGAGGAAGCAGGGCTGTGAGCATACTGAGCTGGTGACAGCATCAAGTGCATACTTGCCGTTCCTTTCAGTAGGCAGATCCATTGGTCTTGGTGTTAGAGTTGATAAAAGAAGAGGAATCAAGTAGCTTGGGAGACTGGCAGCCCTATAACAGATAGGATGTAGAATAAATTGATGGTTTCTGTTTGCAGTACAATTTTTTTTAAAATCTATTTAGTATTAAATGTTGATAAATTCTCAAAAATTAGATCTGAATACTCCAGATATTAAAGTTAAACCATTTAAGACATTAAGAAAATCCTTGACAACAAAAATTGTATACATCCTTTTGTGTTAGGTATTGATTTCCTTATTCATGCGAGATTGTCTAGAGTTCAGGATTAGATGGTTTCCGAGAGTTAAAGCCCATATGGCACCAATCTGCTATTCTATATGTGGCTATGTGGTTAATAAATCAGATTTGTCACTATCTTGCTATTCTGAGTTCAATCCCCTCTGTCAGTTAACTAATTCTAAAATCTTAAAACATTTCATTAAAATCCAAACTGATCATTATATATGTGGCTATAATCTACACATACAAGGTACATTCATGGAAATTTGGTATTTGAAAATAAAATATTAGCTTTCTATTACAAGTAAACCACACAGATATTTTGCTGAGATATGAAGTGGATTTGACTGAAAAACTCAGATTTGTCAACAAATCTGTTTCCTGCTTTCTTGGGCACAAGCACTTGGCTGAACTGAGTGGCAGTGGCACACTTCTGAGAGATTCTCAGCTCTCTTGTGGAGTTGAACCTGTCTACTCATAAGGCATGCAGGTATACTCAGATGTGTCCTGCTCCACTCATTCAGGTTGTCTCCCTGGGCCCTCTAGCTTTTCTTTGGTAATCCCTGATTTTGAGGATAATTGCCAAATGGTCCACTTTCCCCTGGTTCTTCTAAAGACTTTAGGTAGCCCGAGGCAACATATAAAGTTACTATTCTTATAACCACACCAATATGAATATTTAAATATAGGCCACTTTCTATTCTAATTAACTTTAAACATTTAACCTTTGAAATAAAAAAGTGTTATTTTTAACTATGAAGATTAACAGTTAAAATAATTTATATTGATTCTTTTAACTTGAATTTTCAATGGCAAGAACAATTTAAAACATTAGTATCCATCAGATTAAACTATAGAAGTACCTACTTAGTTAAGATTTACTGATTTACTGGAATCAGTCTTGTTTCTTCTTCAATATAATTTCACTTAGTTGGTGATAGCATCAGGTAGACATCAGTGTCTTGCTACTGATGTATATATTAACATTCAGTAGGTTTAATTCTGTTTTAATAGAAAGTTCAGTTATGAGAAATAATTCAAAATATGTCATTTATTGGAGATACAACAAAATGTAATGGTAAATTACAATGCCATAATCTTTTGGTATAACCTTTAACACTCAGATACCCAGTGTTTGTCATTTAAATGGATGAAATAACTCCTTTGGAGCTGTACCTTCTTGAACCACAACTCTGATGGAATATGTGATAGTTTTTATTACATGTACAAACCAGAGACCTGGAATAATGTTTTAAAAACCTCCCCTCAAGGATCATTTCACTCAAAGAGCCAGTGATTTAGAAATTTTGAGTTTTTAATACTACTTAATTTTTTGAGTATCATTGAATGAGAAAGGAATCAAGGAGGCAAATGTATTCAGACACAAGGTCATTTAGCAATACATACCAAGTACAATTAGAGAAAGTCTCTTAATGAAATAATTCTAACCTAAAATCTACTGTAATGTTTATGGACTTATTTAAGGGTTTGTAGGTGTTTTCATCTCATCCATGTGAGTATCATTTTAAAATATCTGTTTTCCATCTGTACTTACCTGTCAATTTTATAAGGATGTTAAAGAGATTAGGGGAAAAGAGAATTGCCTCATGCCTTATTCTGCTGGCCCAGAATGTTGTGGATCATTAAGTAGGCATAACTAGTTCAAAAGAAGTTTGGGCAAACCATTTTCAAATCATATGAATAGGCAAGATGATGTTGGGAATAAAGTATGTCCTCTGGAGCTAGATGGTAGGAATTTAGATTCTATTCTGTCATTTCCTAACTGTAGGCTCTTGCATAAGTCATTCTGTCTCTCTGTGTTTCAGTTTACTCATCTGTCAGACAGCGGCAATAATAAAGCCTGCTTAATAGACTAGTGTTAGGATTAAATGAGTTATGATTTGGAACAGTGCCAAGCTCAGTAAATGCTCAGTTAATGTTTGTTGATACTATTATTATTTTATGATTTTCTCTTGACATGAATCTATGTTTAACTTGTGAATATGGTATCATCATAAACTTCTGAACTTACAGTTTATTTCAATTAACAAATACTTATAAAGCTCTTGCTGTGGGCCAAGGTCTGTGCCAAATGATACGAACCCAAAGGTGAATGAAACATGGACTTTCTCTTGGAGAAGATTTTAATGTGGCAGAAAAAGACAGCTATATAAACAGTTATTGGAAATGGACAGTGGTAGATGCTGAATTAATCTCATGAATCAAGTGTTACTAAAGGAAAATATCAGACTTTTCTAGCCAAATTGGTGGTGGTTGAAAGTAAATTTCGCTTGAAATAACATTTAAGATTTTTTTTAAAAAGACAACAAAATCCAGAAACTCAACAACATATTGTCACAATATCTAGCAATAAAAATAAAATTACTAGATATGCAAAGTGTGAAAACATTCCCCATAACCAGGAGAAAAAAAATTAGTGAATAGAAGTAGACCCAGACATGACAAAGATGATAGGATGAGGAGGTAATGGCTTTAAAACAACTACTATAAATAT